GGGGAGGGATCCACATTGGGAGGGATCCCTGCTGGGGAGGAATCTGTGCTGGGAGGGATCTGTGCTGGCAGCCTCAACACAGAACAGTGTTTGTCTCCTCCCAAATGTTGGGATCTGGAGCATTTCAGCTCGTCCTGCAAGGCCCAGATGCAAGTGTTGGGCATGAACATTCCTGCAATGACAAGTCACATGCAAGGACAACAATAGAGCCTTATTTTTAGAGCATTTTTCAGCCCAGCTCTATCCCCAACGTTCAGCAGAATGAACGAGCCGGGAGCTTCTTCCGTCTTCACGCTGAGGTTTAAGGAAAAGGGTTTGTTTTGAGGGGCCAGTCACTCGTGACTTTGGCAAACCAGAGGAGACATGACTCAAGATTTACAAATCCTGGCTTGAGGCTGCTTCCAGCCTCAGCTACTTGTCAGGAATTCAGCTGGAACAGGTCCGGGGAAGCTTCACCAACACACAACCCCATCCCGACGCGTGCGAGCGCCCGGCTGTGGGGTGGCTGTGGTAAGGGCTGTGAAAAGAGCTGTGGGTGGCAGAGCTAAAGACAATTATGAGTCTGACTGTGTCCCTTTCCTTGTCACCAGGCTGATGCCTCCCAGAGCCATGGGCACACACTCCTCTGTAAAGCTCAGACAGTGCAATTAAAGGATGTGGAGCATCTTGGAGGAAAGGCTCCATAAGTGGGCTTTGGAAACGTCATCCCGCTTCTCCTGGCTCTTCCTAAGCTGTTTCCAAATTGAAGTTTTTCAAATGGGTTCCATGAGGTGCCAGCACGTGTCCTGGGGGACGTGCTGTTCAGGAAGGCTGGTCTTTGATTGCTGTTGTTGATGCATGTAATACGTCTAATTCCTTTTAAGGGACTTCAAATATTCCCCCCCGGTGTCTGTCTAGACCAGGATAACAGGCTCTGTTTTCTCTTAATGGGTTAGTTAACATGCTTTGGGACCACTTGGGTTTATGGACTGATGTACCATGGGGATGGCAGCATCTGGGCTGGCTTCAGTGTCTGCAGGAAGGATTAAACTTCGAAATAAGTGGGAATTGTGGTAATTGAGGTGAGCAAAACCAGCTCATCCCAGCCCAGGGTCCCAGTTGGGTGGTTTGTGATGAATAGAGGCTCTGATGGGCAGCAAGTGAATTGCTGAGAAGGGAAGGGAAGGTTCTGGCTTTCACTGGGTACCTGCAGTCTCTCCCCTCTCCAACTCTTACCCTGAGAACCTGTTTAGGTGGGTAAAATGCATATTTTAATTTTAGAGGTGACATCATCCTGTCACTGGACACACTTGGGCGTTGCTTGTAACCTTGTCCAGAACTTCACCCCTGGGCTTGTGGTTCATGGCCAAGGTCAGTGTTACACCTTTTGTTAGTGTTTGATGCTCCTGCCACTTGATGCCCTTATCCTGGGGGCAGCAGGGGATTGGGATGGAGGTGATGGAAAGGGATGTGAGGGGTGGCCGTGTCCTGGGGGATCTGAGGGGCTGACGGTCTGGTTTGGGTGAAAATGCTTCTCCAGCTCCCCTGAGCCAGCAGCTGCCTCTCAAGGTGTGTCTGACTGAGCTCTGGAGTGCTCAGTAATCTGCATTTCTTCCTCCCCTCGCTGTGTCCAACATGCTAAAAATCATCAAAACAGTGAAATACTGTCCCGTGGCTGCCGGAAGAGGGATGGGAATGTGCTCCCGGTATCCAATCAGCTCCTCGTTCTGCCTCTTCTTAAGGATAGAATTTATTGAAGCAATTTATCCTGACTAAATGTGACATAAATCTGAGCACATGTATGTACATACCAGTCATATTCTGCAGTGAACGAGCAGCTAAATCTTGCCTTAAGGAATGAGCAAATCCTGCTGACACTTTGCAAGCTCAAGGAAACGGAGGCTTTTGCAGTGTGTTGGCCCAGTTTTTTTGTCCTGCTCTGGGCAGCCGATGTGCCATCGGCTCTGGGATGGTTTTTCTGTGCTGTCAGAGCCCTGGGATTGGCAGCTGATCCTGGTCCTTTAATTTCTCAGAGAGGTTTTACGGAAGCACAGATTCGAGGCAGAGAGACCCCGCAGTTCTTGGTGCTGGCGGCGAGGACGGATCTCTGACCTGTGTTAATTAAAAAAGCTCAGCTTGGCTGCCCTGTGAAGTCAGCATCTCCCTCCAGCACAGCTCTGCTCATGTTTAACACCAAGATCTGTTTGTTGATGGAATAAACACATCCCCAGCCTCATCCCACACAGCCCAGCTTAACCGTAGGAGGGTGATTTAAAGACTCTTGAGACACTTCCAGCACCAGCCTGGCTCTGGCAGTGAGGGGCATCACAGCTGCCCTTCAGTGCTGGGTGACTTTGCTGCTGTCCCAGTGCCACAGCTCTGTACTGGGGTGCTGGACTGGCAGAGAACCTCTGATTGCTGTGATTAATTGAGAACAAACTGTGCCTTTGTGGAGCAGCTCACCAGCATCCCTGGCCCTGAGGATGAGGAGTTTTGGGCTCCACATGGTCAAGCTTCGCATTCGGATGGACATGTGGCCATTCTGGGGCCGGGGGTTCAGGTGTGATAGAGCTGGGGTTTGGGTACGACAGCTTTGGGGTTCAGGTACAACAGCTTTGGGGTTCAGGTGTGATAGATCTGGGGTTTGGGTACGACAGCTTTGGGGTTCAGGTACAACAGCTTTGGAGTTCAGGTGTGATGGCTCCAGACCTCAGGTGCAATAGGTCTGGGGTTCAGGGGTGATGGCTTTTGGGGTTCAGGTACAACAGCTTTGGATGTGTGATAGCTGTGGGGTTCACATATGATGGCTCTGGACCTCGAGCACAGGTGACCAAGGTGTTCAATCCCTCTGTGCTTCTCCTCTTTGCAATGTCAGGGAGCTGATCTGAGCCGTGGTTTGGTGTCACAGGAGAGGGTTTGACTTCTTCATCCCTCCCTGCCAGAGGCTCCTTCTGCCTGTTCAGACTTCCCAAGGAAGCCTGGGTGTCTCCGTGCCTTGGGAGCAGGTCATGACAGCGGCTCATGTGTCCGCTGTTGGGACACAGCAGATGTGTGAGAGGCAGCTGCTCCAGGGCCCAGGGAGATTCCTCTGGGAGGAGGATCAGGTGGCTGCGGATGGAAGGGGGATCCCTGTCTCCTTAGCAGCACTTTGGATTCTGGAGTTCCCAGTTTGGAGCTTGGGTAGAAGTTCAGAAGGGTGATATGAAGAGTCTCGTCTGTAACGTGTCCCCAGTCAGACGCGTTTTGGTGTCACCTCAAGGCTCGCCTTGGGTGGGATTTGCCCTTCCTGCCCAAGGTGCTGCCATCCCCTGCCAGGCCACCCCCAGCTCTGCCAGCCCTGTGTCACTTCTGGGGGCTGCTCTGAGGTGGGTGGATGCTCCTGGGCCATTTGGTTGCCTTTGTTATCCCTGTCCTGGGCTGGGCAGCGGTTTGGCTGCCAGCCCGTCCCATTTCTGACAGGGACATTTATCCTTTCTGAGTCCTGTTTGCACAGACCCTGGAGTTTGGCTTAATAAATCCAGACACAGCCCGGTGCTGTGGATGCCTCTCTCTCCTGTTTTTCTGGGAGAAGAGCTGGCAGCTCCTCTCTCATCACACTTCGGTTGTTGTCGCTGCAGGCAAGGGGAGGGAATTCACCCCCTCGAGCCCGTGTAGCTGCTGACTGTCCCAGCAATAGAAAAATAACCTTTTTTTTTTTTTCATATTAAGCAATAATTGATTCCTGTGCCTTTTCACTGAGAGCAGAAGGGGCTGTTTCTGCAGCACATGCTCCCCCTCCGCTGCTGAGCCGCATTCTTGGAGCACTTTCTCACAGAGCTCCTAAAAATACCAACCCTCCCTCCCCACCCTGGTGTGGGTGCTCAGGGCTGGAAGTGCAGAACCTTCCCCCCAGAGCCCATGGCTGTGCTCTGGGTCCCTCCCCAGCTGAGCCAAGCGCCCAACTTGGAGCAGGAGATGCTGGAAGCAACACGAGCAGCCCAAGCGTGTTCCCACAGCAACCCCCCGAAGGGAGAGCATTTGCTTTATTACAGCTTTTTAAAATCCTCCTATAAAAATATCAGTGGGTGGAGGGGACCGTTATTTCTTGAATTTGAGGTGGGGGGGGGGGTTACTTTATTTACTCTTATTTTTTATTAATAAGAATAGCTTCACTTGTAGCATAATAGGGCTGAGTGTTTTGTTATCCTTGGCTGTAATCCGTGATAAACTACCCCTGCCATCAGCCTTGTAGTTTACCCACTGGGGAGCCAGATTATTGCCTTGTAAAACGGAGCACCACTCCTATAATCCCTTAATTAATTAAATGACAAATTTTAGTTCTCTCCCATTGAAAATATAACTGGTACAGAGAGAGGACTTGGATTTATTTGATCGCTGCTTGCTTGCACTTTGTTTTCCTGGAGATTGTCACTGTCTTTCCTCGTGTGTCTGGGGGGGGGGATTCTTGGGCTGGTCCTACACAGAGCCAGGAGTTGGACTTGATGATCCTTGTGGGTCCTTTCCAGCCCAGGATATTCCATGATTCCATTTTTCTGTATGTGCAGGGGATTCTTGGGCTTATCCTGGGCAGGGCCAGGAGCTGGACTCGATGATCCTTGTGGGTCCCTTCCAGCTCAAGATGTTCCACAATTCCATGATACTGTAAATACTAAGGGAGGGTTTGGTGCCAAGGGGTCTTTGCTGCACTGGGTGGTCTTTCACAAGGGTTGAGCGTTGTCCTCATCTTGCAGGAGGTGACACCGAGCTGCCGAAGGTCCCTCGATCCTCTGGGCCTTGCGTTGGAAGCTCCCACACCTTTCCAGGCCTGCCCTGTCCCACTTCCCTTCCTCCAGGAAAAAATCACCTCCCAAGCTTTATTTAAAACTCGGCTTGGATTAATCCCCCTCCGCGGGTTGTGTCGGGGGCACGGGGACCCTCCTCCCCTGATTAACGGCGGCGCGGCAAAGGGCAGCCGCTGCTCTCCATACTGGCGATTTTTCTGGAGCTTATTTAACAATTTCCCCTTCTCTCCTCTCCCCCAGCTCAGCTCGGCCGTGTGAAATATGGGCGACGACAGGCCGTTCGTGTGCGGTGCCCCGGGCTGCGGACAGGTATGGATCCGGGCGGCTTTACGGGAGCGCCGTGAATCAAAGTGGCTGTTTTATCGCGGAGCCAAAGCGCTTAAAGCCGGTGTTTGACGGGATCCCGGGAGGTAATCAGATCCCGGGATTGGCAGCGTGTAAATCCCCGTTACGAGCGGCCCGGGCGCTCGGAGCCGGCTCGGAGGGGGGCTCCTCGCTGTGCTGCTGGTGTTTGCCACGAGCCCCCCCGGGGATCTCGCCGAGTTCCCCCCTGGAATTCAGGGCTCCTGCTAAGGCTGCTCCTCCTCTCCCAGAGGACAGACCCGCTCCCCCCCTCCCCGGGGTGAGGTGGCTCTAGAGCCCGTCCCGTGGAGCAGCTGGGAATGTGACAGGTGATGGTCTGTGTTAGGTGAGCCCCAAACTGCTGTGGCTATTTTGGGATGGCTTTTCTTGCCATCCCATTGTGAGTTTCTGCTCCCTGGAGCTGCCGCTGCCTTTCCCGGGGCGAGGGATCTGAACAAGGCACATCCCCTTCTGATCACCTGCCTGGGTGGGCACCTTCCCATCCCGTTTTCCTTGGGTTTGCAGGGAAACTGGTGCTGAGCTTGGGGTCTCTCACACGCCCTGGTATTGGGAGGAATGGGAGGATCGTGCAGTTCCTGCTGGGGCTGATTTAATGGGAGCTCTTGGAAACTGGGGCTGCTGTGGAAGTGCAGCCCCATGCAGAGCCCAGGGAGATTTGTGTTTGTCTTTCCTGAAGCATTAGAACCTCAAAATGCCTTTTGTAGGGAAAGGAGAAGGGGGGGGAATTGTGGCTTTGAATTAGGTATTAAGTGATGTGCTCACTCTGGTTTTCCTGGCTGCAGCCATTGGGTGTTGGGTTGCCAAATTGGGATGGCTGGAATGGGTTTGGGAGCGATAACCAATTCCAGGGTACCCCCCTGTGTGTGTGTGTCCCCCCAGTTCTTCAATTCATTTAGTACCTTAATGCCTCCTGTGGGTCTCCCAATTGAAATTAGAGATAATTCTGCGTCCCCAGGGCACCTCCTCTGAGGCTGAGTGTGGGTTCTGTGGTGCTGTTTGTTTTTATAGCACAAAAAACGGGTCAAAAACCTCATCTGGTAACTGCTGGGGACTGGGGCTCTTTGAAAACACACAGATAAGGCTTCCCAGCTTTCTGGTCCTTCTGGCACGAGCCCCATCCGGAGCCTTCTCTGCCCACTTGCAGGTGATCTTCCTCCTTTTGCCTTTTTTTTTTTTTTGTAGGCTGCTTTTTATCTGAAACTTCTTTGCCTGTGAAATTGTGCAAGTCATTTATAAAATGTATTAGCTGTGTTTGAGCACTTAATGGTGTGAGCACTTCAATCATACAGCCTTAAAATCGGATTCAAACAAGCAATTAAGGCAAACAACAATGTATTTAAATTTAATCTCCCACAATCTCCCACAAATGACATATAAAGGTGGTTGCTTCCTCCTTTCGCTGTTCCAGCCTGCTGCTTATGGGTAATTCTGACAATTCTTCATGTTAATATGGAAATGTTGGAATCCGGGTAATTCATACCGGGATGATTCATGGTGATCCAGCCTGACCTCGTGCACAGTTTCCTAGAACGTCCTTCAATGCCTGTTCAAACCAGAGCAGGTATTAAATGTGATGATCCAAGCTTGATGTAAAATATTTCCAGCGATGGAAAATTCGCCACAGCCCTCGGTTAAGTTGCTCTAATAGTTAATTGCTTTTGCTGGGAGGGAAAAGTGATGCCTTATTTCCAGTCTGAACCTGTTCGGCTGCAGCATCCGGGCTGGGGATGGAGTTGATGTTTGTTTGTTGGGCAGAAGATCCTCCCTGTGGAATTCCAGGTGTTGGTAGGTGTTTGCTGGCTGATGGGTCATCCCTTAACTAAACCCAGGGTGCTCTGAGCCTTTCTCTCTAAGTCCTGGTGTCTTACCTGCATTTTTTTGTCCTCAGTCCTGTACCTCAGCCCCACGTTGAAGGTTTTTAGAGAATCACAGAATATTCTGAGTTGGAAGGGACCCACAAGGATCTTCAAGTCCAGCTCTTCAGTGAATGGCCCCTCCAGAGATTGGAACCAAGACCTTGGCATTATTAGCACCAGGCTCTAACCAGCTGAGCTCAGCTCAGGGTTTAAGGAGAGCTGGAGGAGCCCAGTGGGATCCTGGAGCTGTGCACACCATCACAGATCAGCTAAAGCTCATTCTGGCTGAGCTGAGCTCCCTGGGCAAACAGAATAAAGTGGGATCATTGGGATGAGCTGGGCAGGGCAGCAGAGTTGGGAGTTTGGAGGATAAGTGTGGGTTTGGAGCTGGGGGCTGCAGCTGCCGCAGGGCTCAGGGACAGGGGCCACACTGGTTCCCCAGCAGCTTGTGCTGCTTTCTGGCACTGAACCCTGACCCTGGACAAGCCACTGGGGATCATCCCATCAGGAATGGCTTCTCCATGTGCACTCAGGTTAATGTGGAGCCTGGGAAGGGTCAGAGGGGGCTGCAGCTCTCTCAGTTCTTTCCCTCCCCTCCACGGATGGAGACATTTGTCTTCAAACACAGGGGACAAAAAGGGACATTCAGGTCCATGTGAGCCACCAGCAGAACATCCCAACCTTCCCAGTGGAGTCTGTAGGATCCAGAGCTTTGAGCTTTTGGGAAGGCAATCCCATTTTCCTCACCCAGGCACTTGGGCAGGCCCAAGCAGGGCCATGGTACTGGGAAGCATTTCCCACCCCAAACCAGGCTCTGGGGAGGAGGGAGGCTTCCAGCAAGGATTCATTCAGCCTTTTCTCCTGTTCCCTCGAGAACTTTGGGTACGTTTTGCTTTGGAAAAGCCGTTGGAATGGGAGGGTGTCAGTGGCTGTTGAGCCTCTCAGTGTTGTCCAGGTCAGCATTTTTGGGATGACTCCTGGCCAGGTCCTTCCACGCTTGGTTCCTTTCAGTTCTGAACCTTTGATCCCATGCCCAGTCCATTGGGCACGGGAAGAGGAGAGGGGAGAGCTGAGCCAAACAGATCTGAAGCCAGTGGTGATTCCCCCCTTTGGTGTAAAGGAAAAAAGAAATTGTGTTAATCTTTGAACCATCAGCTGCTTCATTCCCTCTGTAGCTGGTACAGCCCCAGCTTTTACGCCTTATGCCCTTTTTTCCTCCTTTTCCTTCCCTGTTTCCACGTGGAAAAAAGGCTGCAAAGCCCTTCAGGGCAGCAAGGAGGGGGAAGAGGGAATGGCCACCGAAAATAGCCGAGCAGATCTCGCCGTGCCGGGGGGTGCAGTGGGCTGTAAACATGTTTGGGTTGCCAGGGCTACAGTGGGGGTTATTTTGGGATTCTCCCAGCAGTCCCTTCCCAGCAGCGGGGCCGTGGTGGCACAGCTGACTCCGAATGTGCCGCAGATGCTGCCGTTAAAAGAACATTCCTCCCAAGGTCGTGTGGCCGGTTCCTTCCCGAGCAGGACAGGTGGCACATTTTCCCCTTCCCCAGCTCTCCGGGCAGAGGGAGTGGAGCTGTTCCCCAGCAGGGATGTGCCCCCCCCAGGAGCTGGAGCAGGGCCCTGCCTCTGGAATGCCTGTGGAAGGCAGAGAGTGATGCCTGGAGTCACTGAATCTGTTCAGTGAAATGAATCTGGGGTGGTGTGTGCTGCTAATCACTGTTAAAGTCTCCTAATCCCCTTCCGAGCGCTCGGATGGTGAGAGGCTCCAGCGCAGCCGAGGGCTCGGGAGAACTCGGGTGTTGCCGTCGGAGTTGGAAGGTGTTCCCAAGGTGTGTTCCCGAGGTCTGTGCAGTGGGACAGCTCCACCTCTTTAGAGCAAGGGAATGAAACCTTCACCCAGCTCCTGACAGCACCCAGCACACAGGTCTGGGACAAGGAGGGGCTCGGGGGGCTCCGGAGCTCGGGAACCGCAGGGAAGTTTCTCCATGTCTGGCTCCATCTCCTCCCTTGGAAAACTGCATCAAACCCTCTCGGGGGCCCAGCAGCTGCCTGGGGCAGGTGAGCTGGCACTGAGATGCAGCTCAGGGATGGATGTGCCTCTGGCACCATGCCTTCTGCTCCAGTCCTGGAGGCCTTGGGAGCACTGGATGCTCAAGGCTTTACAGAGCCTCGTGGAGGAATATCTTGATTAATTGAACTGTTTGTGCACTTCTGTTGCCAGAACTAACAGAGGGGCCATAATATTGAATGTGTTCAACTGGGAGCACGACTTTCCCCAGCCCCTTCTTCCCCCCTCCACACCATTTCACTTTTATAAGTGAGACAAGTCATCACTCCGGTCCTAATTCCAGAGCCCCAGTTATCCAGGCCATTTCCTCAGACAATCGTTTACTTTTTAAACCCACCCTTAATTTACCAGTTTATTCCCCCTGAACCCCGTGCACGGAGGTGCTGCCCGTGCAGTGTCCAGGAAACGCCAAGCCCAGAACTTTCACGAGGCCAGAAAATGATTTTTCTTCTTTGTGGTTTATTGTATCCTCTTATCTTGTCATATAATAGAAATAATGTTTATGGCATCGAGGCCTCAGCATCACTTGGCATTTAACCAACCTCAAAAGCAGTTTATTGCTTTGTATACTCTGCTGCCATGACCATTATCCCTTAAATCTCTATTGCCCAGTAATATACGAGGCACCAAATGGCTCCTGCGATTGGGTGAGCGCGGGTCGGAGGCTGAGGTGTGTTTTGGAGCTTGTATAATCCAAACGAATATGGATTAGTCCTTTTATACGATGTGGAGAGGAAAAACCAACCCCTTCCTCTTCCCAAGCTCTCCCTGTCACCAGTCCAACTTTGGGGTGGCACCGTGTCCCCCGTTCCTTGGCTACTCTGGAACTGCAGCTGTGGAACTGCACCGTGTCCCTGTTCCTCTGGGATGTCCAGCTGTGGGATTTGCAGCTGTGGAACTGCACCGTGTCCCTGTTCCTCTGGGATGTCCAGCTGTGGGATTTGCAGCTGTGATCAGCCTGAGCTGAGGCTCGTACTGGCCCATCTTCATCCCACTGAAAGGAAGGGACCCAGCTCCACCAGGAC